GAAATCTACCATCCTTACCCAATCCATACAAGTGACTCCAAACCTACAACAACTGTTAACTGGCCTCTCAAATGGCCCTGGCAAACTAGTCATCTCAAAGAACAAATGGAGTTGGTCAATAAATGCTGGTTCAGCCAGTGACACCAATATTCCGTGAATGAATTTGTAAGAACTCTTTGTGTTATGTAGAGTGAAATGAAGGTTCACTGGAAATGTTCCTGAAATGAAAGATTGTTTTCTGACAAGAGATTGGGCAGACTAGGTCAATATTCCATGTAGTTTAGAAGAATGAGACATGATACAATTGAAATATATAAAATTATTAAGGGCTTGACATGATAGATACTGAAAAATTGTTTTGCCTGGGACCCAGAATCCAGACATAGTGTCATAGTCTCAGAATCAGGCTTGGCCATTTAGGACGAAAGTGACATGACAATTGCTAACCCAGAGGTTGGTGAATCGTTCAGATTTTCAGCAACAAATGCTGAATCATAGGTTCTTGGATATTATAGGAATTGGGAAGATGGACGTAGTGCCAGCAGGTAGAGTTGGAGCAGAAAGTGGATAACCATGACCTTGTTTGGCAAAGCAGGATTGAACGATTGAATGACCTATTGCCACACCCATTTCTTATGCAATTTATTTATTAAGAATGTGTGCATCTGATGGGGCAGAGAGCTCATTTTCATTCACATTCTTGATCAGTACACGAGATTTTTGTTTTCTGTAATATGGGCTAGATTTTACAGGGGGCTGTGATCCAAACCTCTGCCCCCACTCTCTTAATAAAAAGTTGAGGTGGTGCGCACCAATGATTCTGACAGCTACTCCACAGCAATTTAACCCTTGGAGTAGCGTTAATTGACTAGAGGTAGAACTGCCACCCCTTTCACGAGAAGATATTCTGCTTTAGAGAGATGCCAGCCGATTTGAGGAGGCTAGGTAAGTCTGGGGTCTGGGACCTCAGGGAGGAGTGTATAATCTTGGGTGAAAGAGGCCAGGGGAGGGGAAAAGTGGAACAGATAACCTTGGGAGGTTGATGGCTGCCAGTGAGCTCAGGGAAGTTGCAGAGAAGGGTCCCTGCATTCTTTTGTCTGGACTGGTGTCAAGTAAAGGTGCTGGGCATCCTTCATGGTGTGGACCTCCACTGATAGAGGAATTAGACCCTTCCTGCCCATTAATCATCTGCATAATTGCCTCAATAAATCCAATGGTAGGTTAGTGAACTACCTGACACGCCCGATGCCTTCTGTAACACTTCCATCCTGTCTGGCAGGTAGGTAGATGGCAGGAAAGCCACCCACTGAATCTTGCATCCCATGCTCAAATGCATGGATGAGGAAACATAAAATCTAGCCACTAATTCTTTTCCGAGGTCTTTAAGAGTATATCTGTTGCAACATAAAACATAAAATTCTGACACAGTGGTCAAGTCAGGATCACTTCTTCTCAATATCTCCTCTTTTCTCTTTCCAGTTGCCAGTTTTGCTGCTACTTTTCCTTTTGTGCACAAATTATACTGAAAATTAACGCAGTATATACTCGCTATGCACATAAAAATACATAGCTAGAGTGTTATAATTTCTTCCTGGTTTCTACCTGCCACTGTCCTCGGGCTCCATTTATCCATTTTCCCCTGCTTTCATTGTATTACCACTACCTTCACTCTCTGCGAGCTATATCTAAGGAATGTCGATAGGCATTGAAGTTCTGCCACTTCGAGGTCAGTTTGGAAGAACATTATTACAAAATCCCCTGAATTATTATGGTATGGCATTCTGCAATTCAGCATTTGGATTGGAGTTTTGTCAGTCGCGAATGGATAGATGAATTATCCACTTAAAATTCAAGCTCAAATTTCCCAACTTTGGGAAGAATCAGGCTTTTGTACATTAAAAACTCTGTGCTTGGTACCTTGACTTGCTTCTATCTTTAATTGTATATGCAAGTATCTATTGTATCACACATAGTTTGCAGTTAAAATCAATTGTTAATCTTGGAAAACATATTACATTTACATTTGCTTGGTTCATTTATGTTATCTTGAAAAATGTAGCTTTCCTTTTTAAAAAAAAGTCACTGTTCTGTCAATTTTTACTTCAATGTTGTCCGACATTGGATACTAGTCTTAATCTGATGTCAGCACTATATGACATGATATTGAACTGTGGCCACAAGTGCTTTCAGGATATGGAAATCCTAGTAATCCCCTTTGAAAACAAAATTAAAATGTTTCACTGAAATAAGTGACCCTTTGTGTATATTACATTTAAAAAAAAGATATAATGTGGTTTGAATGGTAACTGCAGAAAAGCCTGTTGAGTTGCTACCATAGCCCTTTGTATAGCTCAAACACAGCTTCATAGATCATTTTGCACAGCATCTACCTTGATTACCATTTACTTCCCTTGCTCCATCACATGTACAATAACAATGTCAAATTTAAAGAGTCATCCTTTTAAAGCATTATTTTCTTAGTCTTCCAGACACCATCACCTGTCACTGTCTGCTAGCAATGCTCCTCACTCGCTATGGTCTGGCATTAGTCCAATTGGTTAAAATTAATGGCCAAATGTTCACAATGTCAAAGTTCTTCATTGTTTTGCAATCCCTGTTGGAAATTACACGTGGATTGCAGCAGGAACTGTAATTATAGTGTGCATTTCTCGTAATGCTTTGAATGTTCTTGCCAGCTGTAATGAAAACCGCAAGAGAATGTATAGTGTTAATTATTTTCTTCCTGCTTCCTTTGAGCAAACAATTTTGCAAACACATCTCTGAGCTTTCAAGTCTTTTGTGAATTGTTAAATGTTGAATAACAGTTCGGCCAAAAGAAATTGTGCTTCAGTTGTGCTTGAACTAGGTTCAAGGATTTTTTGTCTCCTCCTCTGATTTGTTCTGTTATTTGCTTCAACAGTTAATTGCAAGCAGTTCAATTCAGACATTTAATAATGAACCTGTCAATTGATACTGTTGCCACTACAATATTTATTATTGCAGTAACATTTGAGGTATTTGTGAGGATTACGATTTTTTACATTGACAAATTGATGGAGAATAATTTGCATCATGAGTCAGGAACAAACAAGCTGTTTTAATTACAATATATTCATGCAGCTCTGCAACAGAGAAGCTCATACCAAACCAACTCAATAGTAAAACAAAAATCATGGTTAAAGTAATGGTGGTGATAGCCTCCTTGTTATTCAAACGAGTCTACCCTATTTGTAAATTTATTGCCTCTCATGACTGAAAAATCTGATTTTGATTTGATTTGATATAATTTATTATTGTCACATGTACCTAAGTACAGTGATAAGTTTTGTTTTGCATGCAGTACAGACAGATCATACCATACAAAGTCCATAGGATGATAGAACAGGACGAGGAATACAATGTTACGGCTGCAGAGAAAGTGGATGCAAAGTTGATGCAAGGTTGTCCACGGGTGTCCGCAGAATGGACCGGTTTTGTTATCGTTGTTGGCCTTTTGGGAAACTTCTACTGTTTTGCCAACCCTAGCCTTCCACTAGACACATTGATGTTGCAAATTTGACCTAGATGGCCCTTAAATCATTGCTAAGCCAATTGTATTACTTGCCACCTCATAGGATAGTCAACTGCAGGGTTTTCCCAAGAGAGATCATGTATAATACAGAAGTTTATAAGGCTTTTTTTATGGCTGTCTTTGTATCATTTATGCTGATCACGTTGACGTTGTGTGTGCTGAGCCAATTCCCCATAGAAGATCTCCTTGGAGATTAATAGTCATTGACTTTTTTGGAGGATGGTCTCTCTGCTGTTCAGACCAATTTGTAATAGATGTTTAATATCATTTTACAAAATTTAAGATGGGCCAATGGGCCAAGGAGTGGCAGATAGAGTTTAATTTAGATAAATGTGAGGTACTGCATTTTGGAAAGGCAAATCAGGGCCGGGCTAATACACTTAATGGTAAGGTCCTGGGGAGTGTTGCTGAACAAAGAGACCTCGGAGTGCAGGTTCATAGCTCATTGAAAGTGGAGTTGCGGGTAGATAGGATAGTCAAGAAAGTATTTGGTATGCGTGCCTTTATTGGTCAATGTATTGAGAATAGGAGTTGGGAGGCCATGTTGCGGCTGTACAGGACATTGGTTAGACAGAATTGGAATACCGCATCCAATTCCGGTCTCCCTACTATAGGAAGGATGTTGTGAAACTTGAAAGGGTTCAGAAAAGATTTACATGGATTTTGCCAGAGTTAGAGGGTTTGAGCTGGAGGGACAGGCTGAATAGGCTGGAGCTAATTTTTCTGCAGTGTCAGAGGCTGAGGGGTGACCTTATGGAGGTTTATAAAATCATGAGGGGCATGGACAAAGTAAATAGACAAAGTCTTTCCCCAGAATGTGGGAGTCCAAAACTAGGGATTTAAGGTGAGAGGGGATAGATTTAAAAGAGACCCAAGGGGCAACTTTTTCTCATTGAGGGCGGTGTGTGTATGGAATGAGCTGCTAGAGGAAGTGGTGGAGGCTAGTACAATTACAACATTTGAAAGGCATCCAGATGGGTATATGAATAGGAAGGGTTTAGAGGGATATGGGCCAAATGCTGGCAAATGGGACTAGATTTATTTAGGATATCTGGTCAGCATGGATAAGTTGGACTGAAGGGTCTGTTTCTGTGCTGTGCATCTCAGTGACGCTATGGGCCAGAGAAAAAACCGAGTAGGGATGCTACAAAGTTTATTGTCATGTTTCTAGGACACAGCTAAGGATAGAATTCAGATGGTACATCACCTCACCTCCTGACTGCTGGGTATCTGCGGTAATTAATAAAAACTGAGAGCTCTCATCTTAGGTGAATCCCTACCAAGTGTACAAAGAATAATAGTGCTGGAATGTATTGTTCAGAATCCCTCACATGTAAATCAGTTTTATCCACAAGATAACGAAAAAGGAAAAGAATGTAATAAAAAATGTTTGATGACCTTGTAACACACTTTTTATTTTTATTTTCAGCCTAAGCAACGAACTTCACTGATTTCCTCGCAGGAGGTATACAGGCCAAGTCATGTGTACGATCAGTCAGAGGTCAGTTCATCTGTAGGCTATGCCAGTGTTAATACTACACCTCCTATTAGCCCCGCCAACTACTCCATCGGATCGATAGAAGGAAGTGACCTCATAGGTAAGATAATGGTTTGGAAAGAGTAAAATATCACAGAAGTTTTGTTTTTACGCTTTAAAGCGTACAACACGTTTGTATAATGTATTTTCTTCTACACAGGTATGGTTATTTACAGTTTCACCATTTTTTGCAAATTTACAATATACAGTGCAACCTTTGAAAATAAATCAGTTGATAAATCACACGGCACAACAGGGACCAGCGTAACTTAAAAAAATCAGTTTAAAATGCGCAATAGAGTGAAAGAGTAAGTGTAATATCTGGTTTGTAGAAATCAAATAATTTCTACCAACTGATCTATTTAATAGGATCTTGCATGATGCTTTGTGCAACTTCAATCCAGTACCATTGAGCTATCAATAAAGCAGTCGAACCACAGCTTAAACTTTATAGTATTAGGGGTGAACTGATGTTCAGTAATAACAGCCTTGCTTCTGAGTCAGAACATTGTGGCTTGTTTCCTTAACCAGAGAGCTGACCACAACATTTAGGTCGACATGCCTCTGTTGGACTTGCTGCCTTTCTGATATGGCACTAAACCAAACCTTTGTCTGTCTCATCAAATAGTTAATGCATCATTCAAAAAGAAAGAAAGTTCTCCCAATGTGTTAGGACATATCATTCCTCAGCTAAAATATGACATCTGGCCGTTTATCCCACAGCTATATCAACCGTACAACATTAAAGCAGTGCCAGTGAAACACTTTGGAATATCTTGTTGTGGAAGATGCAAAATTCTTTGACATCTTTCATTTCATTTTGCATACTATCAACAATGAATAACCTATTGTCTAATCTAAGCTAATGGCACAAAAGTGAAGCAGGTGGAAACTTTATTTTTATTTCATGTCAAAAGGGAATTCTTATGCAAAAATGATCAATGTTTGCTGTTATAACATCAGAAATGTCCATGACAGGTAAGCCAGGATCTTTCTGTCCTGTCCAATCCCCAGTGCACGTGTGGTACAGTTTACTTTCTATCATCCTGAGCTAGTCATGGTGACCCTTGCAAATTGGGTTGTGACACAATCCAAAATCACCCAGTGAACGTGAGCTGACCATCATAAGCAGTTAAAATCCAGGCTTTTTCATTTGACTCCATCTAATACTTCCTACATACCACAACTTAATGAAGAATGTGTATCCCATTTGGCCTCAGTTCTGTTATCATGATTGGAATCATGAGGTACTTCAGCAGAATCATGAAGCCATTCTGTGAATACACAGGAATAAAACAGCCCATGATATGCAATACGAAGCATAATTGTGAAATTGTGATTGATTTTGTCAGAATTGTGTGTTGTTGCTCTTCAAGAATCTCTTTTACTGCGAAAAGAAACTGTGGCTAATAATACATGGCATGAAAAGCATAATTTGTGTTTTGATTCCCTCTGACTTGACTACACATTGATCATATGTCACAAAAAACTGTTTGTTTTTGCATCTTGGACAAAATAAAGTGAACTGGCAATTCATACCAATGATAAATAATGTTGGATATTGAGGCATGTAGTTCAAGTAGCCAAATGCTTGTTCAAGGATAACACAGTGTAGAGCTGGATGAACACAGCAGGCCAAGCAGCATCAGAGGAGC